TTGGCACTGGCCTCCATTTCAGAAGATTGACATTTTCTCAAAAGAAAAAGGACAAACTGATAAAAGAAAAAAATGTAAGGATTTAGATATGGTCCTGCCCACAAGTAGTGTTCCATTCTTGCGCGTGCAATGATATGGGTAAGTTGACTTTAGAATAGGACCAATTTAAATTGTAAGAGCATATCCAATAGCATTCTAGATTTAGATCTAAATTGTGACTGATCTCTAAAGTAACCAAAAACCTCTCCAATGAAATGAAAAGTGCATTTGTCGATAAAAATATGTAAATTTACATCTATTTTTATATCCACATATGGGATCCATTAAGAAGCAAAAAATTATCAATCCATTTGCACCTAATGTTTTTTAGATCTTCACGTTTGAGCATAATTTGTACTTAGATCCATGAGAATGTAAATGGTAATACAAAAGTAGCTTTGAAGATGTCATTTTATATTCAATTTTACGATACCAAGCAGCCTTCGATGTGAATAAATCTTTGTTTACAGATTTGTGGTTCATAGAAAATGTTGAGGGCACTCACAAACGCGTGAGTCCCACCTGAATAAACAATGATCAAAATTTAACACACTCCTCATATGAGGTGTTGGTAGGGGCTCTGTAACCCCTACTTGTACACCAAGCAGCCTTTTTGGAGATGCTCTATCTTTCTTTTGGAAAGTGATCTCTTTTTTAGTCACTTTTCAATTGTCGAAAGTCACTATTTTCCTGTTCTATTGATGACGTTCGATCTTTACCTTAATTCTTTCTAGTTGAATCGGGGATGCTTGTTGATGTTAATGCATTTTATCATATATCATATCTAAGTTGATGGATGCTTTTTAATCTTTGTGCATTTCACTAGTCGACTAAAACTTTCTTAAACGATTCAGCTTGTTACATCTAGTGCTATTTTGAAATCTATAAGAGATTAAAGAGAAATAATAGTAAAGTTTAGTCTCTCTTGAAATCAAATATTCCCTCTAATTCTTTGATAAAGAAGATTATGTTGGTTAAAATTTGGTGTTGGCTCATAATAAAGTTTTTAAGTAAATCGAGAACTTTCTTTTTACAAGTCAATTTTGAAAATATTTTATACTTATTCTGTTTGTAATATTATTATTAAGCTCCTACGAGATACTGATTCTTTAAAATTTATTTTTCCTTTCGAATAAAATAATTCACATTTAATTTCATAGCTTTTCTATACATTTTAATAATTTACATCAAAATCAACTTTTACAAATTTATTCTCAAAACTTTATATCAAAAATGGTCTCTAAAGTAGATGCTCCTTCAAAAGGCTCTCATTAGTGACCAAGCAATCTGGAAATAACTACTTTCACCACAACACAGGTTCGGTGTTAAAGATAGTGTTGAACATCAAGTCCTTACAAGAAAGAGGGTTTTTTTTTTCTTTTTTCTTTTTTTTTTTAAAGTCATTTTCAAGCACAAGTTCTTTCAATAAAATAATTTTGCATGTAGTCCACATTTTTTTTATTTTTTTAATCATATATTCTCAAAAAAATATATATTTATAAAATTAATACTAAAAAAATCTACATCAAACTTGTCCGGATAAAGTGAAGTGTACATTCATGGTCGACAGGTTTATAAAAATTATAAGTTTAATAAAATATGAAATTGAAAATGAGAATAAAAAAAAATAATAATAAGAATTCTATTGAAATTGGCCAAACAGGAACTACACTACATTGTGCCCAATGTAAACACATAAGATATATAATATGGAAGTGTTATAGATTTTAGGTAGGAAATTGAGCCTTTAGAAGTTGCAATGGTTGGGAGTCGATGGATTAGTAGTCTTTACATCCATATGGCAGTCAACAATTTCTCATTTAAGTGTTTGAAAACATCGTTCGCGGTGGTGGAGGAACTCGATTAGGAAATGATGGAGTTAGTGTCACCCTCCTTGGACGAACCTTGTCGAAGGACCCGAATCATTTCCGAAAACAAGAGAATAATAGTGACTTTTTCACAAGTACACAGAACCAAGTTTCAAACTTCAGCACTGGCATCCATTTCAAAAGATTGACATTTCTCAAACGAAAAAGGACAAAAATGAAAATAAAAATAAAAATGATAAGTATTGAACCATGGGCGTCGCCCACTAGTAGCATTCCATCCTTGCATGTGCAATGTCATGGGTAAGGTTGACTATGGTATAAGATCAATTTAAAATATAAGTGTAAAGTAGTCGAAAGCCTCTCCAATGAAAAGAAGCAAAGAAAATGCAAAGTGCATTCTCGACGAAAAATGTAAAAAATGCATATATTTACATCTATTTTTAGATCTATCTGTGAGATTCACACTCGAACTGGGATTAGAGTTGTGGAGAAAAATTAAGTGATAATATAAATTACAATTCCGACATTATAAAAAATCGACATGGAAGATTACACTACCCAAATAAGTAGTTCAAGCAAACATTAATATATCATATCCATTATCGAACAACATTGTAGACTTTCTACCTAAATGACAACATCAATTTTAAAAAAGAATTTACATCCTAAAAAGCAGAAAATATTTCAGTTTTACAGAAGGGGGATGAATAAAACAACTGCACTTCATTTTATATTTTTATATGGGTTTTATAGAACGAAAAAGGCAAAAACAACAAACAATATTTATTTTTAACGTCTTTAGTTAATAGGCTGATGATTTTGTTTCAATTGTTTATGACAAAGGGAAAAAAAAAAAATCTACATTTTATGCAAACAAAAAATTCCCAAACATGAAACCCCACAAAAAACACATTATTTTTTGAACTAAAAAGGTAATCCTTTAATTAACAAAAGAAAATGAAAAAGTAAACTCACCATTACTGAAGATTTCTCGATGAGTAATACTATTCATAATCAAGAACTACAATAGTAATCATATATGTCAGTTTGTTATTAAAACATTAACTTGTTATTTGTGACAACAAAATTATAGAAAGTTAACACATCAAATAACAAGATGTCACATAAAATGTCACGTAGGACGATTACTGTAGTCTTCGATTAAAAATAACATTATTCTTTTCGTCAAGCTTTAAATTACATATATTTCTCTTCCCATAGCTTTGTTTATCCTTCAAAGCTTAGAACCTGTCTTATTTTACAATTTACCTGGTACTTGAGAATGGACAAAAAGAAAGAGTACAATGGAAGCCTTGGTGGATGAAAATTTCGAAAAGTGATGGTACAAGTACTAAAAAGTTTTATCATTATCAAAATACTATATTATTCTTCGGTTCTAACATTTTGAAGTACAAAATTTTAATTATGAAGGTAAAATCATATATCAAAAATTTATTTAATTTGTTGATCAAAATTTTGAAATTGAGTATCGGGACAACTGACCTCACCATTCTCATAGTAGATCCACCCCGGTTCAAAAGAGGCAAAAAGCTACCACACACTTGCACTCAAATTTTTAAAATTTTTACATTAGAGCAGAATTTGGAATTAGATCCATCGAGGTGCAAATGTTGATGCAAAAATGATTTTAAAAATGTCAATTTACACTTAATTTTACACTATCTTTTGGAAAGTATCCTCTTTTTAGTCACTTTTCAATTGTTACAAGTCACTCTTTCTCACTCTATAGATGCTATTGGATCTTTACCCAAACCTTTTATCGTCGAACTAACGATGCTTGTTGATCTCTACGCATTTTACATTAGATCCTTTGTAAGTGGTGGATGCTTTCAATCTTTGTGCATTTCTCTAGTCGACTAAAAATCACTTAAACGGTGCAACTTGTTACATCCAGTGCTATTTGGAAATCTACAATGGATTACAAAGAAATAATAATAGAATTTAGATGGTCTTGAAATCAAATATTCTTTGTACCTTTAGTGATTCTTTGATAAAGATCACATATTTTTAAGGTTATGTTGGCTAGAATTTTGGTGTCCGCTCATAGAAGACCTTTATTATGAGTTTTTAAGTAAGTCGTGAACTTTCTTTTTACAAGTCAATTTTAAGAATATTTTAAAGTTAAACGTGTTGTAACATTATTATTAAGCTCCATATGGTACAGATTTTTTAAAAAACATTTCGTCAAATAAAATAATTTTACATGTAGATCTATAATTTTTCTTTACTTTTCCACTGTACATAAAAAAAAAAATCATTTTTTACAAAATTTTATTATAAACAAATTTTCTTCAAATGAGCTCTAAAGTTGATGCTCCCTCTTCAAAGGCTCTAGTTAGTTGACCAAGCAATCTGCAAAGAAATACTTTCACTAAACTTATTTTTTTCAAACTTATTTTTATGTACACATTTTTTTAATAAAATAATTTTGTATGTGATCCATAATTTTTCTTATTTTAATGACACATTTTTAAAAAAATCACTTATAAAATCTACAACCGAACTGAGCGTACAGGTCCAGTTCTTACAGACCTTTTACAGGGATCTCACATGAGTGGGGTAAATTTTTTTTTTTTTTTTATTTGCACCGGGTTCCATGTGGGGTCATGTGACGGATATGTAATTCCCCCGTAAATATTTCCTTGTACACAAGGATTTATTCTAAAATCTACATCAACACATGTTCACCAACATAAAATGGGCATAATGTAATGATTGACTATAGGAAAGATCATTGTTTGGATTTGCTAAAAATTATGGTTTTAGTATATTTTAATAAAAATTGAGGATAAAAATTATGAGTTCTAAGATATATAGGGCATATTTTATAGTGAGTATGAGAATTGATTTTTTGACCATTAGAAAGAAAAATAAGTTTTATCTATAAGTGAAGAAGTTAGCAATAATGGTTGAAATAGTAAAATAACAGTCAAAAATTTATTTTTTAGGATGAAAAATTGCTACCAATTAAGACATAAAATTGAAAGTGAGATTTAAAGAGAGAGATTTTTTTTTATTTTTTAAATAAAAATGGGTCAAGGACTACGCACGCTGTGCCCAATGTAAACACGACTAGGATATACTTTCGAAGTTTGACTTGCAATTGCAAAGGAAGAACCTCAGAATTCTTATACACAGTTAATTTGGACACAGGTTACTGTCAGAGTCTATTATTGCAGCTCCATTTATCGAATCTACCATAGAAGATTCCAAGAACTGTTTGATATACATCTACACTACAGAAGATTCCAAAAATGCTTTAGCTTAGCTTTGAGTTAATTGATTTATTTGTAGTCCCACTCAGTTCATCCTCCGACTTCTTCTCAGATCAGCACGCCCTCTAGAACTTGCACTTTCCTTTTTCTGTTTGAAATTCTGTACCCTTTTGACTCCAGAATGGTTAGTCCACTGTGTATACATCGTTTTAATTGTTTTTTGAGTTAATTTAAGTTTATGTTCAATGCCCAGTTGCTGATTTTCAATACCTCGTTTTTCCCAGATTGTGCTGCTTCTTCTTTTCTACTTAAGAGTTATTCTTGATTGTTCAGTACCCCCAAAGTAATGAAAGAAATAGTTTCTTAAGTTTCTGTATATGTATATTGTTATATATAACTGGATATGTTCTTTGCATTTATTCTCTTATATGAAATTTAGCTTCCCTTCCTAGTAGATTTTTGATAAAAATTGATGAAAAGTGTGGTTGAAAAGTTTAAAATAATTGTTTTCCTTTGACTTAGATTATCTATATTTTAATTTGTACCAAACAGGGCTTAATCTTCTAGCATCTGGTCTATTTTCTTGTCTGTTTGGAGAAATTTACTGTACTTTTAATATGGACATTGAGGACTGGATTGTTTTGTTTATGGCCTCATGATGCCAAGGGAGAGCAAATCAACATTTTTATGGAATGAGTTCCCTTCATCCAGAGAAATATCTATTAATGGTTATTATGAGCCCCACAACCAAACAGTTGGCGACAAAAAATTATTGGGACAAGGCTTAGTTTTTTCTCGTTTTCGTCTACGATTGGTTGTTGTAGAATACCAAAATGATCCTTCTTGTTTGTTTTTAGTCATTATTTTTGTTGCAGTTTATTCCAGATATCGGGTTTGGGGCAATGCGAGTTTTTATGGCTCTGCTGATGGTATTCTGGGCTCTGGTGAGCCTTGAAGGGGTGATATCACATGGAGTTCAGCCTCTTTCGAGAATTGCCATTCACAAGACTGTTTTTGCTATTGATAATGATGCTTACATTAAAGCCTCTCCATCAATTCTAGGAATTAATGTGAGTTCCAAATTTATGACTAAGTCCTCTTCAGTATATGCCTCTTCAATTTAACAAGAACTTGGTTGCATGCTATAAAATATGCACATTAGTACCTGACACTAGTTAATTGTCTTGCAAGTTTGGAAATGAAAATATAAAGAGATGTTCTAAGTTACTGAACCTTTTACTTGTACTTCAGGAGCAAAACAAAGAATGGGTGACTTTGAAATATGAAAACCCAAGGCCATCGAATGATGATTGGATTGGAGTATTTTCTCCGTCTAATTTTAGGTAGAGTAGATGCATTTAAATTTTTTGCTTGTTTCATTAAATTTTGTGATCTTAATCTTCAGAAGCTCTACCACAAGTTAGTTTTGAATTATTCTTCTGCAGCATATATTTATTGTATATTGTGATGATGTGAAGCTAATTTGACGAGTTTCTATAATTTATATTTAGCTCATCTACCTGCCTCCCTGAAAATCCACGAGTGGGCTCTCCATTTTTGTGTACTGCACCTATAAAGGTTCGAGTCATCCTGTCGTTCCATGATTTTTATTCAATGACAGAGCATGGTTTGATCAAATGTAAAAAGAGGATATTAATTTAATATTGTTTTCTTTTTCCATGCAGTATCAATTTGCTAACTACACCAGCCCAAAGTATAAGCATACGGGAAAAGGATCTTTGAGGTTTCAGTTGATTAACCAAAGATCCGACTTTTCATTTGGATTATTTTCTGGTGGAGTTTTAAATGTAGGTACCTTGTACCGTGCCTTAGAATTCACATAGTGCACAGTTAAACTCTTTAGAGTGGCAATATTATACATTTGCATAATTGTTATGTCTTGCTTGAAAATTTGCTATTAGTTTATTATTGACTGAAACAATAAAACACTAACTGTCTCCAATATTCTACTGTAATAAAATATCTTTTCCCCACACAGTCAGTCGGGATACTTGATAAACTTATAATGGGTTTTACGTTCTTGATTTCTATCTTTCAAGCTGGTTGAATTGTTGCCAACATAGAACTTTGTCAGACTAGCAACATGAATTCTCAGAAAGTTGATGGAGTTAAAAGTGTTAGATGATTTAAATTTACTTGAAACTCATCTAATTTTTTCATTTCCTAGTTTCAAATTCTTCCAATGACAGAGAATTTATTATTTATATTCCATGGAAATGAGCTTTTGAAGCAATAGCTGATAAATTCATTGCTTTTCACAACATAGATAACTCATACGCTTGGTATTTTGTTCTAGCATAATATCTTTTCTTTAATTTTTTTGGTCAAATTACAGCTCCCTTTGATTATCTTGCTTGTATCTAGTCTTACCCTTGAAAACGTTTCTTTGATGTTATTTGTGGAAAATCTTGTTTTGACATAGTCCCTTTCCACTCTCGACAGCCGAAGTTCGTGGCATTGTCAAATACAATTGCCTTTGCTAATCCAAACGCACCAGTATACCCACGCTTAGCACAAGGAAAAACATGGAATGAAGTGAGTTTGTCTGCTCTGCTATTTTTTATTTATCATGACCTTATGACAACCTCTTGTTTTCTTCCTTTGTTAATATCTTTTTTTGTTCAATAACACTGCCATAGATTTAATTTATCAGAGATTTATTCACATTTCCTATATCCTCTGCATGTCTTGTTGGCAAGTGGAAGAAATGACTTATTTTGGAATTGAATCTCAGATGACTGTGACCTGGACAAGTGGATATGATATCAGTGAGGCAGAGCCTTTTGTCGAATGGGGTCCGAAAGGAGAAAAACAAAAACGTTCTCCAGCTGTTACACTCACTTTTGATCGTAACAGCATGTGTGGTGAGTAATGGGACCTCTAAGTTGTTTCTTATCACTCTTTTTTCATAATGGATTATAGCTCAACTTTAAATCTTGCAACTCATTGACTGAAAAAAACAAAAATTGTAAATTTTGTGGAGTATATTCTAATATAATATACAAAATTTCAGGTGCACCAGCTAGAACTGTCGGATGGCGCGATCCTGGATTCATTCATACTGGTTTTCTGAAGGAGTTATGGCCCAATTCAGTGTATGTTGTATCTTCAGTCTAGTCTATATTTAGGTCGATTTTTCGGAAACACAGTGATCTTTTTGGGGGATTTGCTCCTCTCACCTCATCTTTTGACAACTGTTTATAACTTTTAGCTTGGCGAAAAATAAAAAAAAGTGATCAATGAAGGAGAAATGTGGTTTTCCAATTAAGATGAATATCAAATTTGTCAAATATAGCCAAAAATTAAGAAACATAGAACACAGCAGTTAATACAAAAATTGGTAAAGTTCTCTTCTTCCATTTGCGTTTGCACTTAATTTTCCTGAGCAATAATGAACATAATTTATATATATTTGATTTCTTCTTCTCACCTTTTTTCAAGATTCGAACATGTTGAGATCATGCGAATCAAAATTTAACAAAGCTGCATGTTGATTTTGCAGGTACACCTACAAATTGGGCCATAAGTTGTTCAATGGTTCATACATATGGACTCGGACTTACAAATTCAAAGCATCTCCTTATCCCGGTCAAAACTCTTTGCAACGAGTTGTCATTTTTGGTGACATGGGAAAGGTTTGAATTCTTTGGCTGAATTATAAGCATGCTTTGTGCACACACAATCCTTGGTGATAATAGTTATGATTCAGTTAATACTTGAACAAGAAAAAGTATTGTATTTCATCATTTCTCATTATATAATGAAAAGTTTATAAACTTTATATTTACATTTTTGAGCTAAGGGTCTGTTATTTTGAGTTCTGTTGAAAAATACTGCAGCTTCAGTTTATAGTACTTCATTGATCTGGCAAATATTGGATTCCTAATTCAGAAGCCTAGTCACATTCTTGTAATGTATTTATATCTTTTGTTATCACTTTGTGTGTGCAGGATGAATATGATGGCTCAAATGAGTATAATAATTTTCAACGTGGCTCCCTTAACACTACCAAGCAACTTATCGATGACTTGAAGAACATTGATATAGTCTTCCACATTGGAGATATCTGTTATGCTAATGGATATGTTTCACAGTGGGATCAGTTTACTTCTCAGATTGAGCCAATTGCTTCGAGTGTACCTTACATGATTGCAAGGTCCATTACTGATTTTTTTGGAACTTGAACGCATATGCTTTAGTTGAACCACCTCATCTAATAACTTAAGCTATTAGGAAAGGGACAAATTTATCTAGTGAAATTTAGTTTTTTACATGCCCCCACGTTCACGCCAAATGCATATATTCATCAAAGTCCTGCTAAGTGCACAATTTTCGTAAATGGGTGGCAATAAGACTTGAACCCACCTCATCTAAAAGCATAAGCCCCTATAGAGTGAACATGATGATCTATTTAAATTTAGTCTTCAACAGTTTTGATTTTGCTTGATATTCATCTTTGCAGTGGCAACCATGAGCGAGACTGGCCTGGGACAGGGTCATTCTATGGGAACATGGATTCAGGCGGAGAATGTGGTGTCTTGGCTGAAACTATGTTTTTTGTTCCTGCTGAAAACCGAGATAAATTCTGGTGGGTTTGAACTTCTTTTTAGATTAATTTTATTTTTCAAAGTAAAATATCAATCTCTAGTACCTTTGTCTACAATTGCAACTCTTCAGATGTCACAACCAACATAGAAGTTCGAAAGTAATTCTAAAGTAACGAGAATACCCTACTTGCAATCTATCTTTTGTTCTTCCCAAACATCCCTTCAGTCAATTTATTGCTTTTGACTGTTGAAGGAGATGGTTAATATAGTTCGGTAAATAATTCGACAGCTTTGCATTGGTTCTATATTGCCTCAGTTAAGGATAGACTGCGATCTTAGGTGAGACCTAGAATGAAACCTACTTAAATAGAAACAAGAGGAGAGAAATTGGGGTAGGAGTAATTTTTAAAAATTAATCTCTTGTGAAACATCAACTCTTATAGTTCGAGAGATTGAAATATTATTGTCTTATCCTCTCAGGTATTCAACTGACTATGGAATGTTCCACTTCTGCATAGCCGACACAGAACAGGACTGGAGAGAGGGAACTGAGCAATATAAATTCATCGAGCACTGTTTGGCGTCTGTAGATAGACAAAAGCAACCTTGGCTGATATTCCTTGCACATCGGGTTTTGGGTTATTCTTCAGATTATTCCTATGCAATCGAAGGATCTTTTGCAGAACCAATGGGGAGAGAACTTCAGAAACTTTGGCAGAAGTATAAAGTCGATATAGCCATGTTTGGACACGTTCATAATTATGAAAGGACTTGTCCTGTTTACCAGGTAATGTAACAGCCTTGTGAATTGATTAGTCTCGTGCAGTTATATAATTCAACAAAAATGTGATACAGTGACGATTGGAATAATCTATATCCATCTTCCTTTTTGTTTCTGCAGAACATCTGTACAAATAAGGAGAAGAACTTCTATAAGGGCTCCTTAAACGGAACAATACACGTAGCTGCTGGGGGAGGAGGAGCAAGCCTTTCTGAGTTCACAACCATCAAACCGAATTGGAGTATTTACCGAGATTTTGATTATGGGTTCGTGAAACTGACAGCATTCGACCATTCAAACCTGCTGTTCGAGTACAAAAAAAGCAGAGATGGTAAAGTTTACGATTCTTTCAGGATATCCCGGGATTATAGAGACATCTTGGCCTGCACTATCGATAGCTGTCCTAGTATGACCCTGGCTTCTTAACTTGCATGTTGGAGGGATTTTGAATTGATTCGCATGTTTCGTACCTTTGAAGGCATACGAATCCCATCTTTGCATCAGAAAAAGAAGGGCTAGAAAAAGTTCATTTAGTTGCAATGCAGTTTATATATGTTGTTGTGCTGAGAAAAAGAGAGGAGTGAAAAAGAATAACTAGTTTGAATCATGTGCTGTAATTTTATATTGATACAGTTTAATTGACATACAAGTGATTTAATTGCAAATTCTCTCAAGTTAAGTAATTATAAAAGCTAGCAAATTAATTTCATGTCGGTAATTCTTTGAAATAATTTTTGTTTTTTACTTTTTTTGGTAGTTTTTTGTAAAAAATTACTCATTTCAAAATGTATATAATTAATTTTTTATTAATCAATAAGGAGTAATGCTATCTATTACTAGACTAGAGATTCTACAATAAAATAGTTTATTTATTTAGAACATGTTTGAGAGTGATTTTGAGAATTGATTTTTTGACCGTTAGGAGAAAAGTGGGGTCCACCTGTGAGAGAACAAGTCAAATATAACAGCTGAAATAGTGAAATAACGGTCAAAAAATCAATTTTTTGGAGGAAAAAATCACTCCTAAACAGACTCTTATTTTATATTTTGCTAGGTAAATGTTATCAATCACACCCTCATTTGGTTTCAAAATGCTAATTTTCCGCTTAGTCCACTCTTTTGTACAACTGTTCCAATTGAGGAAAATGATTATGATAATATTTTTAAAGGGTTGAAACTATTTTCTGTTAAGGGTTAAATTCTACGTCAAATAAAGATGAAAATATAGATCAACTTATAAGGTTCTGAATTACTATTATTAATAAAGTTGATATTTTAAGATGAGACTCCAAATTTTAATATTTTTAACCATGGCTCATGATCCAACAAAATGAATGATCAGGGCAAGGCATGCGTACGAGCTTTATGTAAAGTTGTCTTGTTTGGTGCAGATTAAAATTAAGTTTAGTATATTTTAATAAAAATTGATAAAATATGTGATTGAAAAATTATGAACTATTAAAATGTTTGAATAAAATTAATTATTGACTTTGATTTAAGATTAAATTTCCACCAAGCAATGGCAAAAATCGACTCATCGCATGAATATATATGTGCAGCATAAAGAAGAAACAAGTTAATCGTCCATTGTTCAAACAGCGTAGAATTTGAAATCAAATGATGGATGTCAATCAATCCCTCTAAAGAAAAAGATATAAAAAAAAAAAAGAAGGTTGAACTTCAACTTTAAGGGTCCCTCACCGCTTGGTCCCTGGAGTATCATGAGAGAGTTAATCGAGGGATGTGTCCCAGCAGGCCAAAGAACAAGAGCAGCCTGTACATTGGTGCCCACAAAGAGTGTCAATTCATGTTTTAAGAATCGAATCCTCACACCACGACTACCAGGAAGGTTGAGTGTGCCTTACACTTATCCTTTACACCACTGGAATATGTCCTAAGGAGCAATCCCTCTAAAGAATATACTGAACAAGGTTCTACATTAGGATAAATTTATTTGTACATCAGGGTTGACAGACCTCCTTACAAGAGGAGAGTCCATGACCAATAAAAAAATTGTGGGCCCCCTATTGTTTGGGGGCGGGGGCTGTACACATATAGCAGGTCCGTCCACATTATGTCCTACATAGTACTATGAAGTTGACATAGTGTTTGATAATCATTAAAATGAGTTTAGTTTTATTTATTTATTTTTTTTTTGGAGAAAATAAATATAAAATAGTGATATTTTTGGAGAATGTGAAATTAAAAAATAGAAAAAGTTTTGAATTTTAAAAAAAAAATATTTTATTGATAGAATGTGTTGTTTAAAATGACTTTAAAAAAATTGAAATTTTATTTTAATGATTGTCAAATAGGGACGTAATTTGATATCAATAAGTTGACAAAAAAGTCACTCGTAAAAGATTCAAATAAGCTCTTCTTTGACAATCATTCTTTCTCATATTTATTTTCAACTACGTATTCTCACAATAAAATATTTTTCATGTAAATCCAAAATTTTTACTTAATTTTTAGTCACAAAATTTTCCTAAATTTATTATTCAAAAATTTAGGTAGTGGTTGGTTTGGATTTTTATTTTCCATTTTCATTTTCAAAACGATTTTTAGTTTTCCCTGAAAATGGCCTGTTTTCCGCATTTTGAGCGTTTTCGACATTTATAACTGAAAACGCTAAAAACGATAAAAAGTCGTTTTGCGTTTTCAGTTATAAATTTTAATTTGTTTTCGAAAATGACGGACCAAACGTGTTTTCCACGTTTTCGAAAACAGAAAATGGGCCGAAAACGGCAAACCAACCAGGACCTTATTCTTTCCAAAATATTCTGTCAAACAGGGGCTAAATAAATTGTTTACTCTTGGTTCTAGTCTCTTTAGTGAAATGCTTGTGTTGCTTCTATTGAGAAAATATGATTTACTTTATATTACAGAATGTTGCAAAAAGTCAAATTTACCATTGTAATTACCTGTTTGTATGCATTTAATGCACAATTAATCCTAAGATTTGATGGTTCCATGAATATGTAATCATACAATGAATAATAGATTTGTTAATTGAAAAAATATTATTTCATAACATTTTCTTGAGACGTTGAAGTGAAATTTGCTCTCAAAAAATATGTGTACTACTCCTTAACTATTGAAACATTTAAGTCGAAATCATAGTGGATTCATATTCCAATTGTTAGCATTTACAATATATGTTGAATGTTTTAATCTTATAATTTAGTAGTTTTGATTATTAAATAATAACATCACATTGCTTTGTAAATTATTCTTCATTCATTAATTTTGATTAGTTTTACATACTTCTTTGAGAAAGTAAACATAGCTAGTTCAAAGCATAGAAAAGTTAGAATATTTCCTACTTAATCTAGCATTGTGTAGATTGTCTATCAAGATTTGTTCGTTCGGTAGTTGAACATTGATGAATATATTTAATGTTTCATAAAGAATGTTTTTCCATCATACTCCATAAATGTAATCTCGACAAATGTGAACTGTCAAGATAGATAGTTCAAATGTTAATCTAGACATTTCTTAACTTTTGGGGTAGCCATTGTAAATGTTTGTTTAATTAGTTTGAAACTGCTCGGGAAAAGTTATTTGTAGGTGTTTCGTGCACACATTTGAACTTTGATACATTAAATTTGTGCAGCATGCTTACCGTTTCATTTGCTTAAATTCAGGTATAAGTGAAAATTTGAGATTCATCATATCACTTGGGAGATAGTTTGTACATGTAGATGATAAATGGAAGTGGCGAGGAAACACAATCACTTCAATCGTAGTTCCAAACAATATCATTATTCCAAGACTTGTCGTACGATTGATGGATAAACTTCGAATCATGATCTATGTACTACAACGATATTAAAATTCGAAGTCCTGAATATGAATATTTCTCCACCCAAAATACGTGAATATGAAGACTTGAATTGTTGCATATCCATTGTTGCGTTTTTTTATCGTAAGTGTACGATATCGAACAAGTATAAAATGTATCTTTGAGTCCAGATTATCGTTCTCACAAGGATTATACTTTAATATTTAATCTAAGTTTTCTAACTTCTATTTGATTAAACAATGAAGAATTGCGATTCGTTGTGATTTTTAATCTAAGTACTTAAAAATAACGGATGCACAAAAAAATTAATTTAGAATTCAATATAGAATGGATATTAGAGTAGAATAATTTTACCTATTGATCACAATTAAGTCTTAAATCAAGACTCAAAATCTAATATAGTGTTCGATTGAATTCTTCTATTGTACTCAATTTATTCCTCCCGAGTTCTCATTGAACCTATCTAACTAATTCAATCACATATCTCTATGCTAATCAACTTTAGTTAAACGAAACATTGATTCTAAGAATTCATACATTATCGTAGTAATTAGTATATGTATCTCTAAACATTATACTAATCTATCGAATTTTATTAGATGGTCTAAATCTTAAACTCATCTCTTGATTCGTAAAAGATTCACAAAATCATTAAATTAGTGATTAAGTAATTCAAAGCATTAAACTCATAGCAAAATCAATGTATGAAAGATAAAAGAGCAAGAATCTAAAAGTGTATGAAAGATAAATTAGTAGGTTACTTGTTCACCATAATATTAAATTTAGTTACTCATAATATATATCATTGGATTTTGAAGAAAGATGTAGAAAAAGAAATTATCTTGCACAAAGATCTTTTTCCTCCTCCAATCAATGTTTCAAAACTTGAATCTTTTTTTCCCCCCTCCCTTGAGTACTTTTCAATCTCTAGTTGTATTCTCTATGCCTCAATATATGGAATCTCCCTTGAATACTTTTCAATCTCTAGGATTTTAATGGGCTTTAAAGAGGCCAAAAATTTGCACCCTAGGTAAGTAAATGTGCATAGGCGCCACTACGTGACGTCGCGATATCGTAAGAACAGATCATGGGCACCTAGGCACCATGATGTTGGTGCCACGGCGCCACCTTTCCGGTGAAGATCGACACTATACTTCTTTTGGTATTTTTATCATAATTTTCTCTTCTAATATCCTATTAAAAAAAATTCATTTTGAGTTATGAAAATAACTCAAAGGGCTACAATTTTACTTGAAGTAACTTTTTTCCAATTTGAATGCTTACTAATTCAAAAATGAGTTTCAATCTTAAGTTGAAAATCTGGAACGCACTTGTGCTGTTGAAAATTGATTTGTGTCCATATTTTGATCACACTTCATTCCTTGTTGACCTCTAGTTGCATCCAGTTGACCCCTAACATTCTCAAATATTTATTGTGAGGTGCGACACAACTTTTAATTATTTACGCTTTAGTTCTCAAACTTTGGATCTTGTCCATTTTTTGTTGATATTTCGCCTCTTTTCTTTTTTCAATTCCACTTTCATTCATCAAATTTCACCTAATAACACAATATATAATAAATTAGGCTATAATTACATTAAAAACTATGAAATGCCCATATTTAAAAGCCTGAATAAGTGTATAAAATACACTTATCATTTATTCACAAAGAAACAACTCTTCGTACAATATCGCTCAAACTGAGAATCCAACAGGCCTGGTATCTACATAGTAAGGTATACCAATGTACAAGAGCCTTTGTTTGTTTCAGAGGAACAATATGAAAGCTTACAACATCACGAGTTCAGAGACATGCAAAATGTGACAAACAAGAATGATTGTGAAACTATAATCTGTAGTATTGGGGGGATCCCTATTGATGAGAACTTGGGAACCCAGGTACATA